TGATCATGTTAAGCGGCTCATGTTGTTATGAAAACATTTGCGTTTTAGAATGATTGGGAAAGATCACGTAACATTTAAACAGCCTTCTGTGTGTACCGCCTTCATTTAGGTGCTTGTTTTCATCACTTTCGCTTTAATTCTCGGGCACTGACTCGTTCGCTAAACTGAACATCCAATCAGAGCTCTCACTCGCGCCGACGACCCCGACGCCGATTCAACATGTTGAATCGGGCAAACTGCCGCCGACAAGTGGAACACACCAAACAAACTAGCCCGACCTTCGCTCGCCGTCGGCCCGACGTTGGCCAACGGGCCGACCATCGGCTTAGTGCGTCCTGGCCTTAAAGCGTTTCATCCAGGTCGCCAGTAGCAAACAATGGAGCGTGCTCTGCTGGACAAACTACGTAATTACACAATTTACAAGCGTTTTATCTGCGTTTTATGTTCTGTAAAAAAAAATTTATATCTGCGACAGGCTCATATCGGCCGATAAAATCAGCGAAACGATATATCGGTTGGGCTCTAGTAGGAATATGGGTAGCATAGTTCTTCACCTCCAATACACTTGTGGATTCTCTGATACTTGAAAGCTTATGATAGGTCTGTCCTAAACGGTTTATACATTGTTAAAAATCCATTTCTGTGGAGGGAATGAATGGTATTTTTTACTTTTGAAAATGTTTTTTTAAAATACAATATCATAGGGGTGCACCGAAGTTTTGGCCGCCGAAAATACAAGCCAAAAATATATGGTGCTGCGCATTGCCCAGCAGAGTTAAGCGCGTAGGTTTCACTTTCTCTCTAGCTGTCGTCACTGCGTGGTGTGACAATATTCCGCTCTATGAATGTGCTTTCCATTGAGTTGCTCACGGCTCCACTCGTGTACTGCTCATGCTCAACAGAAAAGCAAAGTCTGCTCAAATAATGTGCAGACAGGAAATTTCTATGTAGTATACTTTCCTGTTTGCAATAGCGCTACTGTGCTGTAACATGGTGTAGTTCAACTGTACTGGGCAACGCTGGTAAAATGACGCTACCCTCCAGTGTTGCCAACTTCTTTCAACTGAAAGTAGCTAAAGCCCGCTTGAAAAAAGCCCGCTAAATGTCACTAGATGATGTCATATGCTAATTAGCATATTCACAATTCATATTGCCTTTTACATTTGTTTGCTTCTCTGTGCTCACAAACTGTATTTTAAAGCAGCCAAATTGTCAATAAAACTGTTTTCACATATATATTTTTCTGTTTCTGTTGTCAGACAACGAGATGAATATGAAATAGTGACTGAAACGCGGCCCATTAAGACTCCCTTAGATGTTAATCTGCACAAAAATCCAGGGCCAGGGTTTTTTGGAAAAAATGCTGGATTTTGACCAAGATTTCAAAAGCTTGTTGCTTGAAAGGGCTTAAAGATAGAGATCTACTGTAAATTAGAAAAATGTTGGGCGTGACCGAAAGTTTATGTGGGGTGTAAATATACTCATCTAATTAGCATATTATGACGTCATCAGGGGATCTTGAATTTCATAATATTCAGGAAATAGTCGATATTGAATTGATGTTTGAACTTATTTACATGCTTGTTTGTTTTTTTGTCTTTTTATCCTCATTTCAAATGATCAGAAAAGAGGAAACCAACAAAAAAACAGGAAAAAGTACCAAATTATTACTATATTACTATACTATATAGTAGTAAAACGCATGTGAACAGTAGCCTACTTTTTGATCAGTTCATCAGTAATATTCAGGAAATAATAGATATTGAATGGTTGTTTGAACTTATTTGCATGTTTTTTTTTGTCAAACCAACAATAAAATAGGAGAAAGTACTAAATTATTACAATATTCCAATACTATATAGTAGTAAAACACATGTGAACAGTAGCCTACTTTTTGATCAGTTCACTAGTAATATTCAGGAAAAAAAAATATATGGAGTGGATGTTTGAACTTATTTGCATGTTTTTTTTTGTGTCTTTTTATCCTCATTCCAAATGATCAGAAAAGAGGAAACCAACAATAAAACAGGAGAAAGTACTAAATTATTACTATATTACTATACTATATAGTAGTAAAACGCATGTGAACAGTAGCCTACTTTTTGAAGCGGTTTTCTCTCACAAATTTCACAATTTACTCTGACGCTCTGAACTGAACTGCTTCCGCATCAATGACACGATAGCTCACTTGCTCTGCTATTTGCTCTAACACTTTGAATAGGAACATGACGTCATTTTGGTCTAGAATCGAAGTACTACATGTCTGCCATCTATTGGTAGGGAATACAAATGAGATATTACACCATATTAGGATCTACAGCCTATTTTATTAAGTATGTCGCAATTTTGCGACTTTGGCGCTTAGAGGGTTAACTGAAAGCGCTGTTCCTCTCAGGCGCTTGCTGAACAGAGCAGGCGCACAGAGAGGTGTGTGCATGCTGGCAAAGCAAGACCTCGCGCTCGTGCGGCAGTACCGGAGAGTCTCAGAAACTAAATAAGGTTTTTCCAAGAAGTCGCTAGATTTGTTGCTAGGCGTTTTTTTGAGAAAAAAGTCACTAAAGGGGTCTGAAAAGTAGGGGTCGACCGATTATCGGCCTGGCCGATATTATCCGACCAATCAATGCGTGATTCACTCTCACTCCGAAAGCGCTTGCTAACTGCAGCTGCTTCAGTGATCACGCATCAGTTGTCTCTCAAAGGTAAGGCAGTAGCAGACGTTGCTTAATTTGCAATAAATCACAATCCACAAAACACCTCAATATTATCTAAGATTTCCGCGATGCAGAAAATGTGACTGGAATCGCGGAATCCAGTCATATAAATGGAATTTACTGTATGACGCGGAATGTCACGGAATTTGTCAAAAGCAGACTTACACTCGTTTGTGGCGGCATATATATATGCAAATTCATTCTCTGGCAGCAGGAGGCGCTGTTGGAGTGGTAGAGAGCAAGGTTTCCCCGGTAACGCTGTACACAAAGCAGCGCTCCACTCACAAAAGCTGCTTTATCAGATATTACATGCAAGAAGAAATGAAAATGACATCCAAAATTTTCTGAAGACAGTCGGTTTCCTTCAGAAATACAGTGATATAAAAACACCTGCCCCGGGTTTCAATTTGCAGTGCTCATGTTTATTTAACGAAGTCAAAGCCTTGAATGGAATTGAATTGAATTAAAGTTGAATAAACTTCAACTTTACTGTTCAGTGCACTGATGTCAGACTCATTTTGGATAATAAAGTTTATTGTTAAATTGTTAAATGCCCTGCCTCCATTACATATCTTTGTCACGTCATTATAAGTGTTTGATCACCACATTTGAGTGATCATTGCAAAAAATGTGTTTATGTATATATATTCTGTTTATATATATACTGTATTCTATATATAGTACCAGTCAAATGTTTGGACCCTCGAATGGGAAAGTGTCCAAACTTTTGACTGGTACTGTACTATAATATACACAAAGAATATCGGCTGATATATCGTTATCGGCCTTTTTTTTTACTCCCTAATATCGGTATCGGTATCGGCCCCGAAAAATCCATAGCTCTAGTCTTAAGAATGGTTTCCTCTGAAAAATGTTTATAATAAAGATTTTATGCTTTTTTTATTAGGCATGATAAAACCATTTATCATATACTGTAGTACTGAACTGACGTGTTGTCACAGGTATGCGTGTATCTTCTATTTAAAATGGGTAATTCATCCTATCAGAATTTAAAGTCTAAACAATCTATTTTGTAATTAAGCAATGCGCTATGAGAGACTTGAATGCTTTGTTTTTATAAAGCTCTTACATTATTATAAAATGTTTTTTTGTTTTTTTTCCATTATTTACACTACCATTCAAAAGTTTGGGGTCGGTCAGATTTAAGTCACTTCTGCATACCAAGGATGCATTTATTTAATCAAAATACGGCAAAAATAATAATATTATGAAATATTACTATTTAAAACAACTTTTTAAATTTGAATATATTTTAAAATGCAATTTATTCCTGTGATGCAAATCTGAATTTTCACCATCATCATCATACTCCAGTGTGACATGATCCTTTAGAAATCATTCTAATATGCTGACTTGCTGCTAAGAAACATTTCTTCTTATTATCGATGTTTAAAATAATAGTGCTGCCTATATATATATATATATATATATATATATTAGTAGCATTTTAAACCGTCACTTGATCAATTAGAGTATCCTTGCTGAATTAAAGTATTCACTTCATTCAGAAGCAATACAACTGGCAGATCCCAAACTTTTGAGCGGTAGTTTTTTATAGACAATATGTGGTGTGGTATGACACATTTTCTTTTCAACGTTATTTTAATTAATAAATTAATTTGTTATTCAAGGATATTCTTTTGGTTATTGTCCAGAAATGATACAGTACATTTTAAAATCACTGATTTCCAGCATAAGTGACTGCATTGTATATTTTATGTTGTAACATATTTTACTCATACTGCAAAATAAAACAGTGCACAATAATCAATAATTGTCATACTAAAAATTATATTATGTTCTTTAAGTCATTATATTTCTTTTGCTTTAAATAGATATGATAGGTTGATTTTGTCTAATGATTAAATGTTACTTTGGTGCTGTTTAATGCAGTGTAATGACCACAATTAGATTTGTTTTTATAGTTTAATTGTTTTCCTGTTATAATCAATTTTAAAAACAGTTGTGCTGCTTAATAGTTTTATGCAAACCATGATGCTTTTTTTTTCAGGATTCTTTGAATAGAAAGTTCAAAAGAATGGCAGTTATTTGAAATAAAGATCTTTTGCTGCAGCATCTGGATTATCTTCAGGTTTAGCTGATAATAAGTTGCTTTCTTGGACTCTGATTCATGTACACTATGAAGAGGGGATTTTAGATTGCCTGCGTCAGAACATCACTAGCTACAATTTAGGTGGCTGTTAGATTTCCACCCTGGGTGTTTTTTATTATTAAGAAAGCTTTGCCACACTCTGTTTGTGTATACAGTATTGAACCAGCTGCCCCTGCCCTCCCCTTTACCGGGCACCACCACTAAGAGCCTGCTGTACAGCGGGCATGTAGCTGAGGAAGTGGGCCACCTTATGGGCTGCAGGGATGAAACTCTGGTCTCTCAGCTCGCCAATGGCCTCAGCCAGGTCTCCATGGAGCACATGTGAGTTTCTGCTTACGTTTGCCCTTTACATGCACCACTCCTCTGTATGCCTGCTCTGTCCTAATCTAAATCTGCCCCATAAAACCAGTTTTATTTTATTTTTTTCAAATTCCATGTTTTCTGTTTTCATTTTTCTGAGTTCTGTTTTAATGGTTTAATTAAATTGTAATAACCAAAAAATATATCTAATTAATTGAACTCATAAATCTTGAATTACTTAATTACTTAATAAAACAAATTCTGATGAAAATAGGGCCCAATGAAATGTTTTATCTTTTCAGAAATTGTGTTTTATGATTTTAATAAAAATGTATTATCAAAAACGGTGCAAATCAAATGAATGCATAAAACTATTAAATTCCTTTCAATTTTTAACAAACAATTAAAAGTGCTGCACAAAATAGGTTCACATTTTAAATGAAAACTCGGACAAAAAATGTTTATATTCCTTAAAAATATTTTAATAAACTATTATTGTTGTTGCTACTTTGAAAAGTACATTCTGCATGTACAGTAGTTATATACTTGTCATAATTTCTTCAAGTTAAACCAAACGTTTATTTTAATGGGTTGTAGTGGAAACCTTTGAGATTCTGTGTGTTTGCTTAAAACACCACAAGCATCAAGAATGTGTAGTAGACAAAACTGTGCCACTCATTCACACATGCATACTTCATATCTAAATAGACTTTTGCAGTTTAATATCCACAGACTCTAGTCCATAGCACAATTTGATTAAGTGCACAGCCAAATTATCTGAAAGTCTGGTGTTATAAAGTAAATTTCATTTTTATGACTGGATTCTGTGATTCTGACAGTATTTTCTGCATTCTGGAAATCATAGGGCCCTATGTACTCTTTTAGTGGTTTGTGAGTGTGTAAACTCTGATATGTTTTTTCACAGAGAGCTGAAGGACAGCCTTGGCAGTGATGAGTTGGAGGGAGATGTACCAGTTCTGCTGCAGCTTTTGCTGTCTAGGAACCCCAACATCTTCAGGAATAAGACCGCGCCCAGCATTCCCCAGTATGCGGACCAGGCGGGTAAGAGTCAATCCGAGCATGTAGGGAAACTACCGTATTGGCCCGAATATAAGACGACCCTGATTATAAGACGACCCCCCTTTTTCCAGATGTACCTTTTGGAAAAAGGCTTTTTAAAAACCAAATCTTGTTTTTTCTCAGTAAAACACATTTTGTTTTCAATTATTTTCATATTGCATATTTTTCCTATTTTAATTTTTGTTTTGAAAGTAGGCAAATGACGTAACCGGTGTTGCGGCTTAACTCCGGTATAACCGAAAACACCGTCTATCGCAGGAAGCCTACTGTCTACAGAATGTTTAGTTATCTTTGCAGCTTGTGTCCTTCTGATAAGACAGACTTTGCCTCCTTTCTTTCCCAGAACATGTACATTTTTCCACCAGAACTACAGAAAGAGGCATTGTTTTTTTTTTGACCTTCAGTTATTCAAAGAAAATAACATTTATGAAACGACGGAAGAAAGAAACAAAACTAAATGAATTATTTTTTCCATAATCTGTGGTATGGAGAAATAAATCTTTTGATTTTGTTTCAAGTTATGTATGGCAAAAAAGGAGTTTTATGTTAATATGAAAAGCATGTAAATGGAGATATTTTCCACATCTAATACAGATGCCACTGCACCATTCTTCAGCAAAAGCCTCTTTACAAAGTCTGCATTACATTGACAGCATCACAAAACAATACAAGCTGATTTGTGCCAGAACATGTGTAGTGTGAATTTAGAGTATCATTGTATAGCACATCAAATTTGTCATCAAAAAAAATATATATAGCCCCATTAGTGCTTAAAAGTAAATAGAAAACTTTTGGACAACATACATTACTTTAACATGTGGTGATGGAATTGGCACATAAAAATGCATGAAAGAATAATAATAAAAAAAGGAATATATTAAATATAACAATTCTTTATATAATATAATTTATTATATAAATATTTAATATCTATTTAATAAATATTTATTGTTTTAAGTTTTGTGACTTCATTGCATTGACCTTTTGACTGAATTATTTAATTCTTTGCTATTTTCCTACATAGCAGCAAAGATGAAGTAATGGTTTTACCTGGCTCATTGGAACTTTGACAGTGTTTTTAGCTTTTTAAAATGTTCTTATAGTTGCTTTTCTGCCTGTGTTGTTTCTCATCCAGACAATTTTTCACATTCTTGTATTTCACAGGTATAAGTCAGCAGTCAATGGCATCGCCGTATAAAATCACGCATGGCTCCATGCAGGGAAGTCCAGCTTCTGCTAATTACCAGGCCTCTATGTCCCACAGCCCCTCTGGGTGAGCCTGCCTTCTAATTCAGTTTTTTATGTGGAGTAACTTATGCTTCTATTTGTGTCACGTATAGTTTGTTTTCGTTGTACGAAGCTAACCAACAACTGCTGTTATTTACAGTTAAAGCCATCATCCAGCATGTTTCATAATAATGTGTGTGATTTAATGTGCATTTGAATTGATGTTAGTTAACCATTAATACTGTGCTAAGGAGAAAACCAATATAAAAGTCATGATTAATCAAAAACCTGAGATTTTGTTATGGTGTAGTCTGAATATCAAATCGCAAAGGCTGAATTAAATGTGCTGCATGTTTCCGAGTGAAGCACGGCACTGTGTTATTTACACGCAGGCAGCTCATGATCTGGTGTTTTCAGTTCACAGTAAATACTACTCTACACATGTGCTCTGAGTTTGGGTTTTGCGCCAGCCATCTTCCTGGACATGCAATGAGGACCACTTATAAACCAGCTGTTGTCAACAAAAGAGAAACTTTGAGGGCCCTCTGTGGTTTTCAGATAAAATAAAGCTTGATTGTTTAAAGTTTGAATAAAAAAAAAATTACAGTAGTAATATTTCTTGTTTTAATTCTTATTAAGTGTTTATCATTTGCATTATTCGATTTTTTGACAAAATGGAATTTTAATTCTCAATCGTAATTTTTATAAGAAAATCGTACAGCTCTACGTTAACATCAAACAGTTTTATAATTCTATATTTTTGGCTACACTTTCATTTTCTTTCTTGTGATGAAGAATATTTTCTTTTAAGAAATAATTTGATGACTGAAACATATGCTGATAAATATCCCCTTTGTGTGACATTTTATATGAGGGCTAAACAAACTGATTAACTATACATTATCGTTGACATTTTTGAAAAAAGTATTTTATTCTCATGAAGGCTGTTTTTATTTGATCTAAAACACAGTGCAATTTAAAATAACTGTTTTCTATTTGAATATATTTTTTAAAAAAATGGTTTATTCCTGAAATAAAATGTTTCAAATAAATAGCTTGATGTTCATTTTTTTTTAATGAATCCGTGTTGGCAAGTATATTTGGTAAAAACTCTGTTGACCTTGTCCCTTCCTTATGATAGGCGTTTTGTGCCGGGACAGTCTGGTTCTGGTGGACGGTTTTTGCCTCAGCAGAGCAGCCCAGTGCCCAGCCCTTATGCCCCTCAGAGCCCTGCTACCAGCTACAGACAGTATCCACACCCTCCAGCCTACAGTCAACACCAGCACCTACAGCAAGGTCTGCACAAAGATGCAAACATAGGCAGATCTGTACAGAAGCTCTTCCATTGATCGAGACTTTTCTCAGTTCTCTGGCTCATTTGGACTTCATTCTGTTTTTCCCAGGTTCAGTAGCAAGCCCGATGATTCCAGGAGGCATGAGAAATGTTCACGAGAATAAGGTATTTAAAAGTCTGTTCTGCATTAATAGTCAAGCAACATATCGCCAGTTTTTCTGTTTGGCTGATGTGTTAGAAGCGGGACTTTTATTTTGACAGCGCTGATAACGCCAGCGCCTGTGTGCATGGAGCTCCCATTCTGTTAAACAAAGAAAGTAAATGGTATACAAAAACATAAAGCATTTAATTGTGTTATTAGTAATAGGCAAATGCTACAATACTTTCTCATCTACCATCAGCGTTCAACAAGTATGCATTTCTATAATTTAATTAAAGTCATGTTTACTGTGTGCTGTATGTAAAATTAGCACTACCTTGTCTTTATTTGACTAAAATGTAATTCCCAGTGCGCATAGACTTACAAGATTGTACTAAGTGCACTGTGGTTACAATGTTTACTTCCTGTTTATTCAAATTTGTAACAAATTCATTGTAAAAATACTGTTAGAATCAAGAAGTTGCCATCTAAATTAATCTGTTTATTTTGCAGATTTTTTAAATAATGTTTAAATTATTTTGAATATTTCATATTCATTTTCAAATTATTTTTAATTTAGTAAATATTTAGTAATTTAGTTTAGTAATTTAGTAAATATTATGTAAAATAAATAAAATTTTAGCAGTTGTGTAGGTATTTTTACTGTAATATATATATATACAGTATATATATATATATATATATATATGCTTTATATCGCCAATTTGCAAAACAATTTGATTTCCTGTGCACTCAGACTTACCAGATTGTACTGAGTGCACTTTTGGTTATAATTTTGTTATTCTATAATAAGATTACAGAATCACAAAGTTGCCATCTAAATGAATCGGTTTAATTTACAATTTTGTTTTCAAGTTCAGAATATTTTTTCATATTCATTTTCAAATGAATTCTAATTTAGTAAATATTATGTAATAAATATTATAATGCACATTTTTACTATACATTTTACTGTGTTTGAAATTTATTTTAACCTTATTTATGCATTTATTTATTTATTTTTAGTACATTTTACACATTTATTGGCTATTGGCCACCCTGTTCTCTAAGATTTCGTCATCAGCCATAAAAAAAATACAGTTGCCAAAAAAAATCAATATAAAAAATCAATAAATCAAAATTGGTTGACCACTTTTCTTTATATAACAGTAACTCTTTAAGAAGCTGTTCTGATTGTGTATTTCTCTGAAAACCATTAGGATCAGATGAGGGCGGGTTTCACGTCTCACATACTGCAGTCATCTCCACCTTACACTCCACCTTGCGATGGGACTCAAGAATTGCATCTGGGCTCCCCGGACAAGCAGCGCGGTCTGAAGCCCAATGAGGGAGAGCGGGACTCGGCCGATAAGGCTGCGGTGTATGATATTGTGGGCTCGCCGACGAAAGACCCCACTAAGCTGATCCTGAGGCAGTCACGGGCCAGGCCAGCAGAGGTGGAGCTTGGGGGAATGTACCCCGGTTCGGACCCAGAAGGAGAACTTGTAGAGGCTCTTGCCGCAATAGAAAGGATGGAAAGTGAAGCGGCCATGGAAACGGAGCGTGGTGCTAAAGAGGTTCAGGATAAAGGTATGATGCAGGATGTCAGTAAATACATTGTTTCCAAAACTGATAGGTGCACTGATATAGAAACTTGACTGATAAATATAGCATAGATACATGATAGATACAGATAATTACTTTTATGTTATGGAGTATAGTTATTGATATATCAATCATCCTTAAAATCCCCTTTCCAAGACGTATTCAGGCTGAACACAGTTTAAACCGTTTAGCTATACCCTCGTTCAAAGTCTCTTACGCTCAACAAGGCTGCATTTTTTGTTAATAAATACAGTAAAAACAGCAATATATTGAAGCATTATTAACATTTTAAGGAAAAACTTTTGTTAAAAATGTGATTTATTCTTGTGATGGCAAGTTTCATTTTAAGCATCATTACTCCAGTTTTCAGTGTCACATGATCCTTCAGAAATCATTCTAATATGCGGATTTGCTGCTCAAGAAACAATTCTTATTATTAGCCATGTTGGAACTAGACTTGTGCCGGTATTCGGTAATGCGATATATCACGGTAATGCATATGCACGATATTGTTATCGTGGGCACTTCTAAATACCGTGAATAATTATATATTACAAATTATTCCAAATTTTGAATGCATTTTAAGAATACTTTTCCCATCAACTGGTCAAAATGCACAACACCGCTGTATGCTGCGTGAAAGACGTGTGTGCGCACTCTGATGTAAACAAGCCCGGACGAGAAGCGCATGGCGGAACATGTGAGAGACGATACGGTAGTTGAAAGTTCATAAGAACATCATTCATTTGAAATAATATTTTTGGTAACAGTAGTTACAAAAACGTTTTTGCTGTCACTTTTAGTCAACTTAATGCATTCCTGCTGAATAAAAGTTTTAATTTCTTAAAAAAAAAAAAATTTTTTTTTTTACTTTTGAACGGTAGTGTAACTGCAAAAATATCTGAATCATATTTCAGTGCATAATCAAAAGAAAGAAAGAAGAAATTGTGCTTTTTTCAAAAAGAAAATGAAACCTGTTATGCCTTTATGACTCATGTTTTGACATTAAATGACATTTGACATAAATAAGAACCCTCCCTCAATTTTCATAATAAAAATTATGAATCTGATCTCTTTCTCATTGTAGATAAGCCTTTGAAGAAGCGCAAACAGGACTCTCACCCTCAGGAGCCTGGCGCAGCTGGCACAGCTGGTTCAGGATCTGGGGCTCCAGGTGGAGGAGGAGGGGCTAACGCAGGGCACAGGCTCGCCCCTCAGGAGGCCAGCGCCGCAGGCACCAGCGCCAGCCGCCCAGGCCTGCAAGTGAGCTTGGAGCAAGCGGGCAGAGCGGAGGACGCCTGCATGGGCATGCCCATCCCAGCCAGCGAGGCTCAGCGCTGGCCTCAGGAGCCGCAGGAGGGCGTCACACCGAAGGCCCTCAGACACAAGCATGACCACGCTCCAGAACACCAGCATCAGCCCGATACCCCGCGGCAGAAGCACAGACCCGAGGTTCGGCACGGTGATGCAGGCACGCAGCGTGCGGCTCAGTCGGGGAGTAAACCAGTAGAGCTTCCTCCGTACATGCTGGGTGAAAACACCAGTTCGGGAGTGCTTAAAAACTTCACCATTCCCAAAATCAGGAAAGATCTCGGAGGAGGAGATATTCCAGAAGGCTGGAAGCAGCCATGTGTGCGGCTGGAGAGACTGGAACCTGAGATGGACGTGAAGAAGACTGTCAAGCCTGTGGTCGTTCTGCAGAAACTCTCCATCGATGAAGTGCAGAGGCTCATGAGGGAGAGAGACTCTCGCGGCTCCAAGTCTGGCAAGAACAGGCTGTCCTCTGGGAGATCTGGGAAAGGTAGGGGAACTCCTTTTATCTTTGCTCTTTCCAGTTAGAATGAAGGTTTCCCGCTCTGAGTACATCATGATGGTTTTTGCTTTCGAATTGAACGAACAACCAGGCAAGAAGATGTATTACTTGGCTGCTTGTAAAAGGGTAGTTATGCTAAATGGTTCTTGGGTTTTCCAGCTGGTAAGAGCTGAACGGTTACCACTTTGGTGTTTTATTTTTATTCTTTTAATGGTTTGAAATGGCTCTTATAAGATGATGACGCTCATAAGTTTTGAAATTATGTCTCATTTATGACACCAGATTTGTTGTTTGATGGGTTAGAATTATAGAATATGAAAAGGAAGAGCAGTAATAATAGTACTGTTAAATAAATGGTTGTATTTATTTCGTTCATATAAAAATAATATTAAATAATTAGTAAACAACAGCTGGTGTGTTTTTTTAACATTTGTTGGTATGATTGTCATAATCAGTGTTATTTTAGTTTTATTTTAATATTATTACAGTATTTTGTGAAAGCCCGCACGTGTAGAGATTTACCGCTGATTACAGAAGCGGCTTTACTGACAAGATGCGCATTAAATATCACATGCGATTTATCGTGCAGCCCTAGTATAAAGCCATCAAGATTCGCAGACCAGCTTAACAAAAACAGTCTTTCTGCTCTTCATGGATATGATTTTTGACATCGCTGTTTGACTGTGTTGAACTATTAAATTATGAAATGTTGCATGTTGCCATTACTTAAATTGGGTTCTTATTTGGGTTTTGGGTAATAACTTTTGACATCCCTAGTGGTCAAATTATTTAAGCTTGTGAAGATCATTGCGAGATGTTGTTTGGTTAATCTCAATTACAGTTGATAATATAAAGGAAAGGAATTCAAACCCTGTGTGTGCTGTAAGCAGTGCAAGTTGAATGTAAGTCTCTGTGCACAGGTGGAATAGACCCGTCAGTGCTGAAGGATCTTCCTCCTGAGCTGCTGGCAGAGATAGAATCCACCATGCCTCTGTGTGAGCGGGTGAAGATGAACAAACGCAAACGCAGCACTGTCAATGAGAGGCCTAAATATGCGGAGGACAGCTCAGAGGATGAGAAATACTGTGAGTAGCACCACTGTAATGACTCCTGTTTTTCATTATGAATCTCAACCTAACTGGACATTGTCTTAGTTCACAAGGTGCATCCTGGGATGCTTTTTAAACAGTACTGAGTTCATGTGCATGCTGGACACTTGCTGACTGATTTCCCTTTAGAATTTATTTTGTTTTGTTTTAGTAAGTTTGTGCTTTTGTCTTTTTTTTAAATTTTTTATTAGCTTTTGTTTTTTTGTAAATATTTCTATGTAGCTTTATTTTTTTATTTCAGTTAGCTATTTTAGTCCTTTAACTTGTTTTATTTCAGTTAGATGCCAAGGCATAATTTAAATTTTTTGTGTAAGTTTTAAGTTTTTCATCCAGTATTTGAATTTTATTTCAGATTTTTCAATTAATGCAATTTTTATTTTATTTTTTATTTTTATGTTTGTTTACTATAACAATGGTCACAATATCACTCTATAATGCCAGACCAATTTTCCACAGTAAAACCTAACATGCTTTTGAACATACTCAATTATTCAACATTTCTCGGTTAAGTTTTTTTTTTTTTTTTATTCCTAAAAAAACTGTGTTTGTTTTCAGGTGTCTGACAGCAGTATCAGTTAAGTAAATTTTGAATGATTAAAAGAATGCAAGAGTAGTTAAATATAAATTTGGGTTTAATATTAAATGTAAAAAATAAGATTTTATTACCTAACAAACAATACAAGCTAAATTAAAAACGGAAAATATTCCCACATGCATATGGCTATTGTCATCTACAACAAACTTATGACCTTTTGGAAAAACTAGCCTAAATGTAATTCACCATTTTTTAGTATAAAGTAGGGCTGCACGATAAATCGCATGCGATATTTAATGCGCATCTTGTCAGTAAAGCCGCTTCTGTAATCAGCGGTAAATCTCCTGTCAATGAGAGGCCTAAATATGCGGAGGACAGCTCAGAGGATGAGAAATACTGTGAGTAGCACCACTGTAATGACTCCTGTTTTTCATTATGAATCTCAACCTAACTGGACATTGTCTTAGTTCACAAGGTGCATCCTGGGATGCTTTTTAAACAGTACTGAGTTCATGTGCATGCTGGACACTTGCTGACTGATTTCCCTTCACTATTCTACAACACATCCATTTAAAAGAAAAAAATCAACCAAACTGCAGCCCCCATGCACTGAAAAAAATGGTGTAGGATTTACTTTGAAACAAGTTTCACTCGTAAATTGCTAGTTAATTTCACAAGTGATTACAAAGAATCTGCAAGTAACATTGAATTAAATGTGAAATTTTGAAGCAGAACATGTTCTTATGAAACATATTTCAACAATCCTTGTTTTATTTACAACTGTATATACATACATGGGCTCTGTTTTCTGTCCCAGCATCTCGTAAACGTCAGAAGAAGGATCGTGATAGAACGTGGGATTATGAGGAGCGCGATCGGAGGAGTTCAGGAGAGCATCGAAGAGGAAGCTACGAGGCACGTAGAGGCTCAGGCAGCCGATACGACGAATCTGACCAAGATTCACCTCCTCCCAGCCTTAGTGACGGTTAGCTACAAACTATTCAGTGTCCATGAAATGGATTATTTACTCAAAAATGAAAAATTCTGTCATTTACTCACCCTCATGTCATTGCAAACCTATAAGACTTTCTGTCCCTCCATTGAAAATTTAAAAGATTCAAAAGGGTCTGTAAATGATGTAATGATGACATAATTTTCATTTCTGGGTGAACTATCCCTATGAGCATTTAATTATGAAGTCAAAGTTCTGCTCCAAAACTTAGAGTTGCTATAGTGTCATCAAATTATTTGAGATTTTTCTGAAATGTGCTTAAACAGTTTATGAGTGGTTGAGCAAGAGATTTTTATTATTTCAGTTGCAAGACGTTTGAAGACGAAGGAGAAACAGAAGAAGAGGAAAGCGTATGAGCCCAAGTTAACACCTGAAGGTAAACCCTTTCACCTTCCTCATTGCACCCAATTTTCCCCGTCAGAATGATGCTCTTTAAAGGGGTCATATGATGCTATTTTAAAGATCATTATTTTGTGTATTTGGTGTAACAGAATATGTTGACATGCTTTAATGTTAAAAAAACACATTCTTTTTCAAATACTGTACATTATTGTAGTTCCTCTATGCCCCGCCTCTCTCAAACACGTCGTTTTCAACAAAGCCCCCTCCTTTGACAAGCACAGTCTGCTCTGATTGGCCAGCTGAAGAGGCGTTTTAGTCCGGTCTGGATGAGCCTTCTCTTTTAGATAGAATAAATCCTTTTGTGGGAGACTTTGAGCTTTGTAACTCTGCAGATCTTATACATGCATAACACACTAAAGAATAGGAAAAATAGAAATCGCATCGTATGACCCCTTTAAATCTTTGTACTTGTACATTTTTTTCCCAGAAATGATGGACTCTTCCACTTTTAAGAGGTTCTCATTGAGTATTGACAACATCTTGGAGAATCTTGAGGATATGGACTTTAATGCTCAGGGTAGGACAATCTCTCTCTCTCTCTCTCTCTCTCAGTAGATTTTACCACCCTGTATCATATTTGCACAGTGAAACCCAAAACTCAAATGTCAGGCTTTCTCACAAAATATGATGAACATTTTTGCTTTCAACAACCGTTTGTAAGGTGAATATGATTCTGAAGACATTATTATATGCCTAATCCTGATTTCCACTTTTTCCACTCCCTTGCAGATTGTAATTAAATTATACAATTTGAATACTTCTTTTTGTCATTAAAACTTTTGACATTTGACTGCTTTTGTTATTTTGATAAGAGCACTAAAGCTGATACATATTTATAATTTGAAAAATCTTCATTCTTATTTTGTGGTGAAAAAAAAAACTATGTAATGGAAAGTTTGTATTGTTATTTTTGAACTCCGCATCACCAAATAATGTAATAGTAGGCCTTTTTTGCAAATCAGAATTCTTTTAAGATGCAGGTCTGTGTTACAAACTAAACTCTTCGGTTTTTGACTAAGGTCATCGTGACGTGTTTGTGTGTTCTCAGATGACGATGAGATCCCTCAGGAGCTGTTGTTGGGGAAACAGCAGCTAAGTGAATTGGGTAGTGAATCTGCTAAGATAAAAGCCATGGGCATCACCTGCAGGGTAAGAGATACATCACTGTATACTGCCTCTTTTATGTGGTTGTTTAAAAACCCAGTGAAATCCTACTGTAAGTATGGTGGGTTTAGGCTAGTCCATATCCATATCTAAAAGCAAAGGCCATCTGTATGATAGTGCAGTCATAAATTTGAAAAAGTTTAGGTGCACTTTAGTTGCATTATTATTCAAGAGTTTGGGGTATGTCTTTTTTTTTTTTTTTTATGTTTTTGAAAGCAGTCTCTTATGCTCACCAAGGCTGCATTCATTTGATTAAAAAATCAAAATTATACAGTAAGAACAAAAATATTGTGGACATATTAGTTACAAATTAAAATAACTGTTTTTAACTCATTTTAAAAATGTAATTTATTCCTGTGATGCAAAGCTGAATTTTCAGCATCATTACTCCAGTCTCATGTGTCACAAGATCCTTCTGAAATCATTTCTAATATCAGGGTTTCTGGGACCTTTAAAAGTCTTAAATTTAGTTATATCAAATTTAAGGCCATAAAAAGTCTTAAATGATACACAAAAGTCTTAATTATGATTTCAGGAGGTCTTAAAGGGTTAGTTCACCCAAAAATAAAAATCGGCTTGTGTTTTACTCACCCTCGAAGCATCCTAGGTGTAGTGAATCCTTCTGTAGTGAATCCATGCGTTTTTGTAAGAAAAATATCCATATTTCAAACGTAATAAACACTTTTCTCTCACTTCCGTTATCTTTCATATGCGGAAGGCGTTCCGGCAGAAGGCGTATGACGTATGCGCAGCGCGCGCGCCTCTGAGATATGCTAGTCTCGTGAGTTTGTTTATAGGAGCAAAGGAAGCAAAGTTTCCTTACTTTAGCAAAGGAAAACCAGTCTCCTCTTGGCTTATATCGAAATCCTCCGACATTTTTCTTTGCAAATCTTCGGTTTGTACTTCTAATTCGTGACCGGCGTTTTGTTTTGTTCTCTATCCGCATTCGTCACTAATCACGCAACGCCGACCTGCTACGTCATCCGCCAGCACGGCTTCCGCGAATGACAGTTGGCGGAAGTGATATAAAAGTGTTTATCACGTTTGAAATATGGATATTTTTCTTACAAAAACGCATGGATTCATGCATGGCCTTTATTCACCCCCGGAGCCGTGTGAAGCACGTTTTATTATGAATGCGCGAGCTTTATTTGACGACTTGTGGACTGTTCAACTGCTACACCCGCTGACTATAATGATAGAGCTTGGAATAGCCAGGACAATTTTTAATATAAATCCGACTGGATTCATCTGAAAGAAGAAAGTCATATACGCCTAGGATGGCTTGAGTCGAGGGTGAGTAAAACACAAGCCAATTTTCGTTTTTGGGTGAACTAACCCTTTAAAGTTGGGGACGGAAAGACAAGAATTGTGATATGGCTTAGTTTGACGATTAGACTTCAAAAAGCTATAATTTATTCAATTCAAAGGCTCATATTTATTCAGTTGTAAATTGAATAAATATGAGCATTGCACATTTCAAAGTCAGGTGCTGCTGGAAACCGCCAGCCCTTCGGCTGTTTTTGTTCAGACCAAAGAAAATAGAGCCATATTTTTACACAGCAAACACACCGTTTTAAAAGTGAACTGGTGGATCGACAAGAAGCTAATGTTAATGCATTATAAAATTCTAAACCAGGGGTCGGCAACCTACGGCACGCGTGATAATCGCTGGCATGCGAGCAATAGGGAAAACTGCATACTGACGTACATTTTGAGGTAATAACTTCTCATAGTCACACAGCCTGTTAGGAGCTATAAATACTATTAAAGTGTGAGAATTAACTTGCGCTAGTCTACGGATGTGCGCGCGACCGCTGCACATACTAGGTGCTTCAGATCAAAGCCTCAGCGGTCTAACAGAGCTCGTCAATGTCAAAATGACTGAGATGGCCAATCAAATCAAAGTAGGCGGGGTTTACTGTTAACAGAAGCAGAGCGCGAAGCGTCAGTTTAACGTTAAAGAGAGCGAGGAAAGATGAAGCTGCAAATCATTTAATATTAGTCCCCTTTTAACGATACGTTTTACGATAGCAATGTTAATTGACTGCCAGCTATATCCAGTGATGCAATATACTCGAATTATTTTTCTCAAATATGGCCATTTTGAGAGAGAGAGATGTGTAAATTGTCTGCGTATGTGTCTCTCTCTACAAACAATGAAGCTAAGTTTAGTTACTTAAAAAACAGTGAATTTACCCCCCTCGTTGCTGAGAAATATAATGTAGCGATTCAGTATCGATTAATAAAAGTGGTGTTGATGCTGCCTTCACGTGCTACCAGAATGATCGTGAATAGGAATGTGGTAGTTAAAAATTGCATATGAAAGCAATGTGAAATCGACGCTTGAATTTGTCTTGATCATAATCATATTCGGGACTTATAAAGTTTGTGTTAGCACACGATGGCACCATGAGACCAGCTATGTTGTTATTTTTATAGCGCCGTGCTCCCCGTCTGTGTAATTCATAAATAATCTGGCAGGGTGCAGAATTCGGCACGACACCGGTTCGACATGTGACGACCCCGGGCTGGACTCCGCTTCGTCCAAGGTGAAAGCCGATCCGGCGATTCACAGCGCGAAGTTGATGTGTACTAGAAGTTGAGCGGATATTGTCCTCTTTTGGAAGGCCAAACAAAGTAGTTTCGCTTTCACAACGAAAGATCTCATCATGGAGCGTGTAACCAAATCAGCGGATGCGTGTCTGACAGCACTGAACATCATGACATCATCACACATGCCCAAAGCCGTGTACATTGAGGACGTGATAGAGAGAGTTCTGCAGTACACTAAGTTCCACCTGCAAAACACTCTTTACCCGCAGTATGATCCAGTCTACAGAATCGACCCTAAAGGAGGTGAGAAACTTCGCTTCTGCTGAAGTTCATGCAAAATCATGAAATATTCATGCAAAATCATGAAATATTCACAAACGGTTTGCTCTAAAATTATTAACTGTATTTAATGCCTAAATTAATTGACAAATGAAAAAAGATGTACCCTCCAAGTAAAAATAAATAAATATTATTACTATTCTCTTACATCTTAATGAAAATGACAAATAAAATGTAATAAATATTATAAATGAAATTTATTATTTTTGATGATGATAATATTATATAGGGGTGCTCCGATTGATCGGCTACTGAACTCTATCGGCCGATAATCGCTTTGGGATGTTTGATCGGCTGTCTCTAAAAAGGCCGATCTAAAAAAAAAAAACGATCTCAAGCTGATGACGCTGCCTTCAGAGGTTTGGCATGACATGCTGTGTCACTGTCTCAGTCTCTGTCCGGCGCGGGTGAAATAATTATAATGCTGAAGGTGAGATACTCACCTTCATATTTCTTCATTAAATAACTTATAAAGTCATTTGAAAACCTCGTGTGAGACGTAATTTCACAAACAGCGCGAGTGAATCACCGCGCGCGCGCTCTCTTTCTCTCTCAAAATACGCAAATGGCTTCAAATCACCACACATCGCGTTTGCACTATAAGCGAGCTGCACGCTGCACAGTTGACACAGGAATTGTCACTTGCACAATTGAGGCAGTGTCACATCGTCACTAACGTTTATAAATTGCATTACTTTTTAATTCTTGCCAGTGTTTAAACCATTGCGCGCTCGCACGCTCTCCTGGAGACTGAGCGCTAATGAACACTCGCAGCGCACACACATAATGCCAGGTTCACATTTACTCCGTTTGCAGTGCGTATGCGGTGCATAGTTTTCCCCTCTCATGTTAACGGATTAAAGCGTTCACTTGCTTATATTTATTGTGTTTAAACATGTCTGTTAAAGATTGTATTACTGTACTGTGTACAAAAAGAATCACAATGCTGAAAAAGCATTTTCAGTGACAATGTTTGGATTTGAAATCAAAATAATGGATAAATATTGTGTTTGTGGTAAACAGCCATGGATCAGTAGCGGACTCCTCTGTGAAAGCACAGTCCGTGCTGCTTCCCCTCTCACAAGAGACACCTAAAAGGGAATTCCCCCCATTTTCAAAAATTAAATTTAGGCCCTGAATAAATGTCTAAAAATCCTGATTGGAGTATCACTATAAATAGTTATAAATGATAAAAAGAAGGCTTTAAAAAAATCAGTATCGGTGATCGGTATCGGCAGATACTGCTTTCTGTGATCGGCGATCTGTGATCAGCCTCAAAAATCCTGATCGGAGCACCCCTAATATTATATTTCATTTATTTGACAAATTTTCCATTATTATTTACTGCCAGTTTTCTGCCTTTATTGAAAATCACTTAACTTTAGCTGAAGGCCTGTTCGCATCAAGTCTGATGTGTCTAAATGGTACAAAAGTATAAAATATTCACAAACAGGTTTTTTTTTTTTTTTATAATTAAAAAAATATATATTTTTAAATAATTTCTAAAATAATTAATTGTATTTAATGCCTGAATGATTTTTTGACAAATGTATGAAGAAAAAAGATGTACCCTCCAAGTAAGAAAAAAAAACATAAGAAAAATAAGTATGTTGCATGAATTGTTTGATCTTATTGATAAAAAATAAAAAAAATCACAAATTAAAATGTTATAGATCATTCAAGTACAGTACTTTGGTTCAGTCTGACAGAGTTCTTAGAAATTTATTATTTAAGTTTAAAATCTTTTTTAATGTTTTTATAGATTATTAAAATTACATATTTTATAAATGAACTAAATTTAATAATAATTAGAATAGATTTTTTTTGGACAAATTTTACATTGGTATTTACTGCCAGTTTACTGCCGTTGTTTTAAATCACTAGTACATTAAATAACATTATATGTCAACTGTTTGTAAATGTAAATGAACTGCTTCCTAACACTTTCTTGTGGTTTGAACCATGTGTGGTTTCAGGTTCCTTGCTGAGCTCCAAAGCAAAGCGAGCCAAGTGCTCCACCGCCAAGCAGAGAGTCATCATCATGCTCTATAACAAAGTGTGTGACGTCGTCAGCAACATCTCAGAGCTTCTGGAAATTCAGCTGTTGACTGATACAACAATATTGCAGGTAGGAACTGATGGGTGCAGTGTATTTGTGTACTCTATAGTTTATTTGCATTTATTGCATGTTGTATCACTCTGTGTTGTTGTTCTTCTGCAGGTCTCTTCGATGGGCATCACTCCGTTCTTTGTGGAGAATGTCAGTGAGCTGCAGCTGTGCGCCATAAAGCTGGTGACGGCGGTATGTTTTCATAAATGAGCACATATATAGATGAGCTCCATCATAAATATAATGAAATTGTTTTTTTAAATTAAATTATAACAAAACTGTTTAGAAATTTTTCCTTAAATACTCATTTTGGTTTAATGTTAGGAATGTCTTTCTTTTTTTCCTTTTATTTCTTGTTTTTTTTAGCGAATTAAATTTTAATTAAAATAATGATTTTGGTCCTTTAATACACATTTTGACTTCAAATCAGGATTGTCGCTTTTTTGTTTTCTTGTTTTGCGACCAAAGAAGTTGTTGTGGAAATCAGAAGACTATTTTTATGTTATGATTTAAACTATATCTAAAAACATGTCACTGATGGAGGCTTTTTGCTTCTCCCTTTGTCTCAGGTCTTCTCTCGTTACGAGAAGCATAGACAGTTAATTCTAGAGGAGATTTTTACCTCTTTGGCCAGACTGCCCACCAGCAAACGCAGCCTCAGGAACTTCAGGTACTGTTATGACTGCCTATATTGAGCTGACAGTTCTGCCTAAACTGATCTGTGATAACAACAAGCATTTCCTGCATGTCAATTCTGTGTTTAGGTTGAACAGTAGTGATGCTGAGGGGGAGCCCATATACATTCAGATGGTTAGTGCTCTGGTGCTGCAGCTAATTCAGTGCGTGGTCCATCTGCCCTCTGAGAAAGACTCTGAAGATGATCATAAGAAGGTACTAGTTACTCATCCACCACTCTCACATTTGTACTATTGCTGCAAAGTCTGGTGTAGATTACAGGATACATTAACAATATGATTTAATCCATTTTTAGGTTGACGACGATGTGTTCATCACCAACTCGTATGAAACGGCTAGACGGACGGCTCAGAACTTCCTCTCTGTCTTCCTCAAGAAGTCAGAACATCCCTCCTGTTTTCAATTTTTTTTTCTTCATGAAGTATGTGTGTGTGCAGTATTCAGTGTATGTTTCTGTATTGTTACTACTTAGGTGTGGCAGTAAACAGGGTGAGGAAGACTACAGGCCGCTGTTTGAGAATTTTGTGCAGGATCTGCTGTCTACAGTCAACAAACCCGAGTGGCCCGCTTCGGAATTACTGCTGAGCCTGCTGGGCAGATTACTGGTAAGAACAAGCCATAGCCAATCACATTATCTGCAACAGAGCCTAAACTTCCCTGACCGTGCTAAACATGAAAAAAGTGCATATTTATGAACCCACAGGAGTTTATGATGGCGCTTCAAATAAAAAGTCAAATAAACTTTGACTTCAGACGATTTGTGCTAAATAAAATTAATCAAATAAATAGTTTCAAAATTAATTTAATTATAACATTAACAAATATAAATTGTATAATTATAAATATAATGTATATATTTTTATTTCACAATTTATATATAATTTAAACATGATTTATACATTTAATGTATATGATTTATTTCTATTGCTGTTTTTATTTTTTATACATTTTTATAAAATTATGTATGTGTGTATGGATAGATTGTAAACCTAAAAGCTACCCATATTTTACTTGAAAATACAGTGTCCTTGTTGCATATTACTTGTACTTACTATAGTAATACGAGTAATTTATTTATAATGTGAGCAACTCTAAACCAGGTTTATAGCATTGTAAAAAGATCAATAATAAAAACCCAGTTTGGTTAATGAAAGAAAATACAATAACAGTGATTTCAGTGAAACCCATACAGAGGTTCTTTCTTCTTCAGTGACCCTTGACCTTCATGCTCTGTCCCTAGGTGCACCAATTCAGTAACAAGCAGACAGAGATGGCACTGCGAGTGGCATCACTGGATTATCTGGGTACCGTAGCAGCCAGATTGAGGAAAGATTCCGTCACCAGCAGGATGGACCAGAAAGCCATCGACTGCATCATCAGAGAGGTATGCGAACATGTATCTACATTACACATGCTGGTGCATGTGGACTACATCTCATAAACACTCAATTTTCAATGTGTGTTTTTTATTTAATGCTTTTTCTGTGTCTTTAGAGCTCAGAGGGAGACGAGACTCAGCGGTTGCAGAAAGCCTTATTGGGTTATATGGATGAGAATGCAGAAACAGACCCTGCGCTCACAGTGAGTCCAGCTCAGATGCTCTTCATATCCTCTGGCCTTTATGTAGAGTCCTGTCTGCCTTTGAGTTTTTCCATGGTCAAGTGTCAACATGTGTAGTGTGAGGTTGCCTGCGGTTAATTTAACACCTGTAAATAACACCGAATTTGTTTCTCATGATCTTAAAAACCTTTTACACTTAAGGTGTCTTCTTAAATGCTTAAAATTATAAGGAAAATTGGTAGAGAGAATCCATAAGATATTATATATATTTACTCTAAATTTAAGAGAATTTTGATTTTGTTTCATATTTCCATTTGTGTTATTTTATAGTGACATTTAATGACATTTAACTTCTAAAATAATATCCCATTAAATGTAGAGAATACTGACTGATACAGTATGCATGTAATTTAATAATGATTAATAATAATACAATTATTCTATAAATATTAATATTATTTATAATGGTAAAAATAATAAAAATAGACATGCACAAAATGATCATTTTAATGATAGCAGATATCAGTAATTGTTGTAATTTATTATTATTATAATTATTAATGATGATGGTTAATAATAATAGTAATAATAATTATTATTATTATGTTATAATTATTATATAATAGAGTCATGCACAAAATTAGCATTTTACTGATAGCAGATAATTTGCCCTTTTTTCTACCCTTAATCCGTCATGACAAATTCGTCAATCTTATTTTGTATTGTAGTTTGCACGACTTAATTAAAACTGGCAGCACAACACTATAGGTAATTCTGTTGGAGTTGACCGTTGATGTCTTTTAATTGGTATGTTTGTCTGTTATGTAGTCTGATATGCAGCGTGGTGTTCACGGCCGGTTGATGGATAACTCCACCAGTGTGAGGGAAGCGGCGGTCGAGCTGCTGGGACGGTTTGTGTTGAGTCGACCTCAGCTGACCGAGCAGTACTATGACATGCTCATCGAGAGGATACTGGTATGACAGCACTTCAGATCACTGTCTGACAGTTTAAGTAGCAAAATGTAAAGCTTTAATCATTGTTTATATGTACATTTACATACTACCATTCAAAAGTTTGGGGTCGAGTTTTTTTTGTTGTTTGTTTTTTAAGGAATTTATACTTTTATTCAGGATGAATGCATTAAATTGATATTTATAATATTACAATTTATGTTTCAATTAAAAAAAAAAATTTCTTCTGTTAAAAAAATCCTGAAAAAATGGTTTCAGCAAATCAGCATATTACATTGATTTTTGAAGGATCATGTGACACTGAAGACTGGAGTAATTATGCCGAAAATTCAGCTTTGACATTACAGGAATAAATTACATTTTAAAATATATTGCAATAAAACATGCTTATAATTTGAAATAATATTTCACAGTATTGCTGTTTTTTCGATCAGATAAATGTGAGCATGTGACACTTTTTAAAAATTTTTATTATGCATGCAACTTTTATGACCTCATAATAATTTGTAAATATAGGTAATGAACTAGAAAAGACAAAAATATGAATAAAAATTGTGGAAGTTAACGGTGACCCTTTAAAGGCCTAAGATATACACTTTCCCTTTAGACAGTGATGTGAATTTTGGCCTGAAGTCTTGATGTTAAAAACAAAATGTACAATTGTGTTTTTTTTCTGCTATTTTGAATACTGTGCATGTAATAGGTGAGAAGTTTAAATTGTTTTTCTGTGCTTTCACTCTAGGACACCGGTATCAGTGTGAGGAAGAGGGTGATCAAGATTCTGAGAGACATCTGTTTAGAGCAGCCCAACTTCAGTAAGATCACAGAGATGTGCGTGAAGATGATCCGCAGGGTCAATGACGAGGAGGGCATCAAGGTGCAACCACGTTCTTTCCTTTGTTTTGCATGATAAATGCAGTGCTGAACTTCTGTTGTGATGGGTTTTTCCAGTTAGTGACAAAAGTGTGAGCTAACGGTTTTTCCCTCCCTGCAGAAACTGGTGAATGAAACATTCCAGAAGCTGTGGTTTACGCCCACAGCCAGCCACGACAAAGAGACAATGAATAGGAAGATTCTCAACATCACTGATGTGGTCAGTCCAGCTGTTTATATTGTATATTTTTATTTGTGTGTGTGTGTATAAAATGTCTCACTTTCAACATTTGATATGTTATCTATATTCTATTTTGAATAAAATATAAGTTTATGAGATTTGTAAATTATTCCATTCCTTTTTTACTCACAATTTGTACAGTGTCCCAACTTTTTTGGAATTGGGTTTGTATATATATTGTTTTGTCTGACCGATTCAGCATTTGTTTTATTTGGCTCTAAATCAGAGTGTGTCTACATTATCAGTGTGAGAACCACCGCAAGCTGTTTGTGGTTGTATCTGGGTAACACTAGAGAAGACATGTTTTTATACCTTTTGGTTTTACTACCAGAACATAAGACCTTCCAGTGGCGCTTGCATCTCTCTGCAACAGATGCGTTACAAGATATGCAAATGTAAGCTGCTCCCTGAAGGCAATTTCTGAATATGAACTGGGTCAGAGGTCACAGATTCTACCTGACCTAAAAAGCCACGGCATCCAACTAAGCAGCTCTATGACCAGAGGCATATTAAAATACGAATAAATCAACTCATCATCTTACAGTGTAGGCGTCGCCTTCCATTGTCAATTGCGCTCATTCCTCAATCTGGCAACCCACGTGAGCATAGAGTCTGAGGAGGAGGGACGGGAGAAACAACTCTCTCCAGTATTTTGAATTTGGACTGCAGTACCCATTTTAACCACTAGCCGCCAATATTACATACTGTACCTTTAATAAAGCAACTTTCACACAAATCGTTAAAATCAGACTGACTCGTGTCCATACCTAAAGATCTAGTGTAAAAATGGCTTTTCTTTAAAATAGTGCATCATCCCCAAGCTGAACTTGTTCTTTTCTGTACTGCAGGTTGCTGCCTGTAAGGACACTGGCTATGACTGGTTTGAGCAGCTCCTGCAGAACGTAAGTGTTTTTTAAGTCAAATCCATTTCCCTCTTCTGGTCTCTAGTTTGGAGGACTGTAGAACTGCAATTCACAGTGTTTTGTTTTTAATAGCTATTAAAGTCAGAGGAGGACTCGTCCTATAAGCCAGCCAGGAAGGCCTGTGTTCAGTTGGTGGACAATCTTGTGGAGTACATCCTCAAATACGAGGAGGCACTTGCAGGTACGCACATTCTACTAGACTTGGTAAATCTGATTTGTTTTAGCATATCAGTTGATTAATCCTGTAAAGCCTGATATATGAAATAATAATCACAAACAAATTACATTTTATTGAAATTGAACAGCTTATTGAACCTTTAGACAAAATATAAAAAGTTTGCATATGTGCTTTTTTTTTTTTTTGAGTAATATTTATTTGATGCATCAGGCTTTTATGTTTCATATAGTATGATATAGGAGAATATAGACCTTATACTTAGTAACACCTTAATTTTATTTGGTGGACCAAACTGAGCAAAATATGCAATTTACTGGAATTGCTGATATTTATATAGCCAAAAAAGTAAGATTAAATTCTGATAGCTTTTAGTTTTATTGTTCAAAACTTTGTATTTTTTATTTTGGTGGGCAAAATATATAATGCAGTGCAATACAGTGATGGTTGAGAGATGAACAAATAATAGCCTGATGTATCATATTTGATGCATTGATTTACATGATTTTTCTAAAAAAAAAAAAAATTGTATGGATAATCAAGTAAAGCTAAATTGCTTCAGTCCAGTAAATGTTCATCTTAAAATATTAAGAACAATGTGTTTACTTTATATTTATTTTTGCAATTGAAATCTTCACTGATTTTTATAAACTATCAATCAGACAACAGAAAAGATTGTGTATAAGAGGTTTTTTCAGCTAAGTTTTGATCATGTTGATAATTTAGAGGTCTTATAAATGTGTGTATCAAATATGATACAATAGGCTTTATAGGGTTAAGGTAGTTAATTTCAATTAATTTAATCAAAAACAGAATCACTTTCTATTTTAACCATCACTCAGAGTTTTCTTAGACATCTTTACGTGTTGCTTTTTTTTGTAGTTTTCGTTTTTTATATATATATATTATATATATATATTAGTTTAAGTTGCATTTAATGTAAATTTTGTAAATAAATAATAAATTATTGTATGAATAATTAAGTTAATTAACTTGCTAGTTTAAAAATGATGGTTTTTCCCAAAATGAATTAATTTGCTGTTGTGATGCTGTCTGTGTGCAGAGCACAAGAGTGTGAACTCAACGCGGTTGGTCGCGTGCATCACCACACTGTATCTGTTCAGTAAGATCAGAGCGCAGCTGATGGTCAAGCATACCATGACTATGCAGCCCTACCTCACCACCAAGTGCAGTGTAAGTTCAGACTTTAATTTTAACAGTAAACCTACCATTTTGCAGGACTTTCGTATTTCTAATAATAAATTTGAATGAAATCATAAATCTAGAAAATGAAAAATGACAAGTTTTGTGAAAAAAAATCTTACAAATAAATATTTATTTTATATTTTTGTAATTTATTACTTTATTATTGTAAATGTAATAAATGAATGAATTATTAAAGTTTCATAAATTCAGTTTATTGGACATGCTTTTTTAATAATTAAAAATTTATTTAAACCATTAAAATGGAATCCAGAAAAATTAAGACCGAAAACACAGAATTTGGGAAAAATAAAAAGTTTTTGCTGAACTTTTAAAGTCCGCGTGAACCGGAAGTTGCTGCCGACTTTATTTCAGTGTAGTGACGTATTTCCATCTGAAACGGAATATTGAATAGAGGGCATGGTTTTATTTTGGCGCTTCTCCTCTCTGTCTCTCACTCATAGCAAACTAACGGTTGGAGGGGTGTGTTTAAAAGGATATTCTGCCCAAGCCGTCAAACTGACATCATCAGAGAAGGTCTGCCATTCCAGAGCAGAAGCAAATGATCAGATTTTGATTAAAGATTACCAAGACAAACAATTTTTTTCAGCAGATTAACTTGCACGGATTAATTGTTCACATCAAGACTAGCAATGTGAGCTAGTAAAGTAAATGAAGTCAATTTTGATTTCATGCCGACTTTAATAAATTGTTGCTAAATTGTAAAAGTTTAATGACTTAAATTAGGCTTTTTAATTAGTAAAATCTAATTCCACCATTAAAACATAATCCAGAAAATTGAAGAAAAAACAAAAAATGGAATCCAGATAAATGAATGGAAATAAATGGAATTTGGGAAAAAATAAAATGGCCTTCATAGGGCGCTAAAAATTGAACTTTTGTTCAAACTTTAATGAATAGTTGTTAAATTGTAGTTTCATGTAGTGTAATGATTTTAATTCATTAGACTTGCTTTTTGATTATGAAATGTTGTTTAACCATTAGAAATGAAATCCAGAAAGATTGAAACCTCAAATGGGAAAAAATGCATGCGAGCAAGCAGATTCTTAGGGCTCTATGCGAAGCACCTGCCAGTGCAATATTTGTGGTCATTCTGCCATCTAGTGGCCGTTTACTGCTAGTGTTTTAAGATGATATTGTGCCAAGGTATGCGTGTCATAAGATTGTTTTAATTTGTTTTTTTACGGTGTTTATGTATAATGCTTTTGTGTTTGTCATTTTCACAGTCTCAAAGTGACTTCATGGTGATTTGTAACGTTGCTAAGATCCTGGAGCTTGTGGTTCCTCTGATGGATCACCCCAGCGAGAGCTTCCTGACCACCATTGAGGAAGACCTGATGAAGCTCATCTTAAAATATGGGATGACCGTAAGTGACCTGTACTCACACACTGATATACGTAATTCACATATCTCAATTAACATTTGATTTACTTAAAAGACTGTAACAATTCTAAAGTGATTTATTGTGTAACTTTTTATAGGGGACATAACACACAGTTTCTGCCAATCTCATGTTAATCTTGAGTACCTATACAGTAGTATTGCATATCATATCTCTAAAGAGTCTTTAGATTTCTCAGATTTGTAAAAGACAGATACAGCTTTACACTTCTCTCCGAAAACAGTCGAGCTCCTGGAGACGTGCCATGGGCGGAGCTGAAGAGTCACGAGCACATGCAGCTTTTGCTCTGCAAGCTGTAACATCGACATAAATAAAACAGGAACAAAAATTTTGACTCAGATTTTATTTAATTTGTTTATAAAACATTTGTCACTGAAATGCCGGGAACAAACACACTTGCTCTGTTGCTGCCCCGGAGAAACAAACTGCATCCACTGTTCCCTTAACGCTGGGTTCTTTGGGAAGCTGAACAAGGTTATCTTTCCCTCACAACCAGAAACACACTTTTTTGGTGACATTGTTGTCTAAAAACAAAATGACAAATCCTTCTCAAGCAGTCCTGTGCAGCTCTACAGATGACTTGTGTAACCCGAATGAAGCACATTGATGCGCTGCTCTTGCTCTCGCTCTGGATGACGTGTGCGCGCGCTTTTCCAGGAGAAGTGCCCATACAAGGAATTCTGCCCTTTTTGACGTCATGAAGAGCCATATTTGGAAAAAAAAAACCTTTTTGAAACTTAAACGAACCCAGAAGGAGTGTATTTTGAACAGAAATACTCCATCATGCGTCCAACGCGTTTTTTTAAAAACTTTGGCCATGTTTAGCATGAGAATCCAACTCTTTAACAGTGTAAATAAGTCAGAACGCATGAAATGGCATCAGACCTCCCCTCTTAAAATAATGGTAAAAGTGTTCATTTGTACGTTTCATTAATCTTAAATTAGCTCAACAACTGGCTGGTTGCTCATTTGACGACGACCTGTAGTTACAGATACACTTTTGAAACCTATTTCTACACATCTCACTAAATTCTTTTTCTTTTTATCCTTTCGCACAGGTTGTCCAGTACTGTGTGAGCTGTTTGGGTGCGATAGTGAATAAAGTGACTCGTAATTATAAGTTTGTATGGGCCTGTTTTAACCGTTATTATGGGGCTCTGACTAAGCTAAAGCTACAGCATCAGGAGGGTACGAACCACATGGCACTGGCTGCCACCAAAGCAGCCCTGCTCAGATCTCTCTTCACCGTGGGAGCTCTCTGCAGACACTTTGACTTCGACTTTGAGCAGTTCAAGGGCACCACTAAGGTATCACAACCTTTCCTGATATGTAATTATACGATTATACATAAACCTGCACGTAATATACATGCAGCTATGATTGCCATGTATTTGTTGCTCATTGACTTAAGCTTATTAGCATTAAGAAACACTAATTTCACTGTAACAAGACTTGAGTTGCTTAATATTTGTATTGTATTTATATATCTAGCTTTTTTAAACCCAAGATAGCTTGTTACAAGTTTTTTTTACTCTTATTTATCTATAGATATTTTTTGAAATTATTAATTTAATCAAATATTTCTAAAAATTTTCTGTTTTTTTATTCTCAACTTTATTACTATGATTTTGTATGGTTTATTTTAATTTGTTTACGTGTTATTTAAACCTGAAAACTTGCACTGTCATTGACAGGTTGTGATAAAGGAGAAGGTTTTGGAATCATTACTGTACTTCACCAATCACGAGGATGAAGAAGTTAAATGCAAAGCCATCATTGGGTTGGGTAAGATGACGCAGTCATTGTTGTTTTCATATTTTTATATACTATTATAGTATTTATTCATATTTTGAATAAGCTTTTATTTTTATATATTCTTTTTGAAAATATACGGATTCGCTGTCCACACGAAAACGCAAGGGCGGCGTATAGACGAAACGCCTATACGATACAAAATGTATGCGTATACAGCTATACGCGTCTCCCGTGTGGACTGGGCCTTAGTTTTTTAGTTAACTATTGCAATACTTCAAAAGTAGAACTGGGTAGTGCTTAATTTGTCAGATGCGTAATTGTGTATTTTCTCCGCTTTTTGTTACAGAACCAGTTCTTTGATTGATTTCATATTTTGCATCATAGCAATATTTTAAGTACTGAATAAAAAAAAAAAAACACCATCATTGCCTTTTCTCATGCCGTGCAGGGTTCCTGTTCATCATGCACCCGAGTCAGATGTTCATTCCAGAGGTGAAGTCTCTGTATAACGGGCTCCTGTCGGATAAGCGGTGCTCCATCACGCTAAAGATCCAGGTGTTGAAAAACCTCCAGATGTATCTCCAGGAGGAGGACTCTCGCATGCAGGAGGCCGATAGAGAGTGTGAGTGACCATGCCATGTGGTGGCTCACATTTTTAAAGATTTTAAGATTAACGGCAGAACTTCATATGGCGACATTCACTACACCAGGGGTTCTCAACCCTGGTCCTGGAGGGCCACTGTCCTGCAGAGTTTTGCTTCAACCTTGATCAAACTCACCTGCCTGTAGCTTACTAATAATCCTGAACAGCTTAATTAGCTGGTTCAGGTGTGTTTGATTAGGGTTGGAGCTAACATTTGCAGGACAGTGGCCCTCGAGGGCCAGGGTTGAGAAAGCCTGCACTACACTAATGGCAGAAAACTGGGATTGCCAAACTCTATAAGGCTCTATAAACTCTGTACCACCCTTAAAGAAAGCTTGTTGTGTTTTCATCTTTTCAGGGCAGAAATTGTCAAAGCAAGAGGATCTGAAAGAGATGGGTGACATCTCATCTGGTATGAGCAGCTCCATCATGCAGCTCTATTTGAAGCAGGTCCTGGAGTCTTTCTTCCACACACAGTCCAGTGTACGACACTTTGCCCTCAATGTCATCGCTCTGACCCTCAGCCAGGGACTCATACACCCCGTACAGGTACACACACCCCTATACAACAACACTGACATTATAAACCCAGCGTCTATGTCATCACTAGTCCTGCACAGAATGATAAACCTCTGCACATCTCAACTGTTGGCATGTTGTTTTGTTTTTCCTTGTTTTAATTGCAACGCCATATTCACGGGTTTGATTCCCAGGAAACACACTTATGAATAAAATACATAAGTGCAATTGCAAAGTAAATAATATTTATTAACAAAAGATGTTTTAATGTTAAAGTATCTTGCTCACCAAGGCTGCATTTATTTAATTAAAAAAAAACAGTAGTATTGGGAAATATTATTACAAATTAAACTGTTTTCTATTTGAATATATTTTAAAATGTAATTTATTCCTGTGATGCAAAGCTGAATTTTCAGCATCATTACTCCAGTCTTCAGTGTCACATGATCCTTCAGAAATCATTCTAATATGCTGATTTGCTGCTCAAGAAACATTTCTGATTATTATCGATATTGAAAACAGTCGTGCTGCTTAATATTTTGCTGGAAACCAAATAGAAAGTTCAAAAGAACAGCATTTATTTGAAATGCAACTCTTTTATAACACAACTGTTAGTTTCTTTAAAAAAAAAAAAAAAAAAATACTGACCCCAAACTTTACATAAATGTTCTTGCATAAGTACTAATTTAGTAATGATTTCAGCTACAATTAAGAGTGCTTTATTCCAGTTAACACAATTTAATAGATTTAATTGCATCCCACAATTTTTTTTCCTACAGTTCACATAAAAATTGTTTATTAAAAAAAAAAAAAAAAAAGTTGGGATTGGGCCTACTCATCACTGTCACAGCCTTGGCTGGAGAACTTGCACACTTACACAGACTTGTCACTTTTCCTTCCTCCTTCCAATCATAGTGTGTGCCATATCTGATCGCCATGGGGACGGACCCAGAGCCCACCATGAGGAACAAAGCAGACCAGCAGCTGGTGGAGATTGATAAGAAATACACTGGATTCATCCATGTGAGCACCAATCCACACACCTTGTCATGTGTCTCATGCTGGATCATAATTTTATTAATTAATTGGAGCATTCCTACTGGTCAAATACATTGAAGCCATGAGTGAAAGAATGTAAAGTGGTTAAGCACTTTTATTTGTGTGTATATTACAATTAATATTTATATGTAAGTATATTATTTGTGTGTGTATGTGTGTGTATATATATATATATATATATATGCATACACACACACACACGCACGTTAACTTTTGTAAACATTTGTAATAGTTATTATAATAATTCTAGTTTAAATTAAATCTATTTAATGTATTTGAACATATGAATATAAATTGTAACATACACAAATAAATTTTATTTCAATTATATATACGTATAAAATACCTAAATACTTTTTTATTTTAATTTATTATTTTAATTTAATTCTATTTCAAATACTTTTAAATTATAAGTAATTAGAATTTTTGCACACATTCTGTTGTTGTATTGAAGGGTAGCTAAAAATACAAGTAAAAAAAATTTTTGGGACTCGTGTGTGTGTGATAAAATTGGATTGTTATACCTGGATTATTTAATTGCTTATTGCATTATTTACTTTAATTGCTATTAAATTATATAACTTGAATTACTCTACAGATGAAGGCTGTAGCAGGAATGAAGATGTCATTCCAAGTGCAGCAGGCCGTCTTGGGATCAGCGGGATCTGTGATCCGTGGTTTCCGTCAGGACGAGTCCCATTCTGCTCAGTGTTCACACCTCTACAGCATGATCCGCACAAACAGACAACACCGGCGAGCGTTCCTCATCTCACTGCTCAGTCTCTTCGACGACAGCTCGGTTAGCACTCTTTGTGTGTCTGTCTCTTCCTAACGTTGGCTTTTTGTTGTGATGTTGAGACTGACCTTTCCCATCTGTCTGTCTCTCTGTGTCCGAGCAGAAGATTGAGGTGAACATGCTGCTGTTCATCGCTGATAATCTGGCCTACTTCCCCTATCAGTCTCAGGAGGAGCCGCTGTTTATCATGCATCATATAGACATCACACTCTCTGTGTCAGGCAGCAACCTGCTGCAGACATTTAAAGAGGTAAACATGCTCAAGTGCTTGTGTCTGACCTTAACAGTTTGTGTAGCACATTTCAGCACTGATTGTTTTGTGAGCCTGTCACAGTGTAATCCAGCTTTACCCCAAGCAGTTGTGTTTGAAGGATGGAGCAGCGCAAACTCTCAGCCTCTGTGTGAACATAACAGCGCTGTTAACCATTTGCAATGGGAAGAGGCCGTTTACATAGTCTTATAGGCACAGTAGCAAAAATGGCCTGTTTAATTTCAAAACTCAAAAAGATAAAAATGGTCTTGATAATATTATAAGGGTCAAAAATAAAATGCATGATTTCCTCTTATAATCAGGTATTCCAAACCCCCCCCCCCCCCCCACCCCTTTGTTCATTTACACACAAGCAGCTCATGATCCTGTGTTTTTAGTGTCTCAGAGCGGCACATAAACTCATTTCTGCTTGTGCTCTGAGATTGGGTCGCTGATAATGTGCATTTGAAAACCCAACGGTTAAAAGTAATGAATAAATATTAGTATTGTAATTAAACTAATACTGAAACTTCGATACGATACCTTGAAAAATATTGATATTCAATACCATTTTCGAGACCACAAGGAAAAATTGGCACAACATTAAGGGCATAAAATTTTAGATTTTAATTGAAAAATCAATATAACAAGGTTAGAAAATGATAATGAGGTGTATTTTTACATGAATGAAAACTACTTGAGGTGGTAAAACACTGGAGAAAAACTTGGGGATTTGTCTACGTTTACTTCAATTTTCTTTACAGAGAAGTATTTAATTATTGCATTCATTTTCCTATTTTAACCTAAAACAGGGTGGTGTGAGCATTTAATCAATTTCTCTGTTCTTCTGTAAAATACAATTAGTGTTATTAATACTTGTTTATTTTACAGTACAATATTATTTTAGTAATTTCTACAAATTTTTTTGTAATAAAATATAGTAATAATTTATTATTATTATTATAATTATAATATTATTATATTTGAACAGTCATATTTAATGGGAGAATGTTTTTATTGTTAAATGATCAGGGTTTTTTTTGCACCAAAACATTATTTAGATTTTAAAACAACACATTCTCCATTCTTGCAATTACTCCAATTACTACTGTTCCTTTAAGTTTATATACGTAAATGTATATATAGTTTTACATGTATAAATAACCTCTGTTATGACTGTATTTAACACAAGGTTGTTTATTAGATGTAATCATGGATGGTCATGTTAATGCACTGATGGTTGTGACAGTAGTTCCACCATGACTTCTAAACGGGCCATCGTTGTACCCAGTCTCTCGTTAAGGTTCCGGGCAGGAAGAGCAGGAAAAGGAGACGACGACGGCGACGACGGCACCAACCGCACCAACCGCAACAGCAGCAGAACGGTTCGGAGGAGGAGAGGGGAGAGCGGAACGAGGAAAGAGAAAGGAACAGTGGAGATGAAGAGGATGATTATGAGGAGGATGAGGAGGGGCAGCGGGTGAGGAAGCCCAAGCCCACAGAGGGCGCCAGGCAGTCGGAGTCAGATTCTGATTCTGACCTTGAGGATGCTGATGCTGTAATGGAGCGTCTCCCTGATGACACAACATCTCTCCTGGACTTTGCTAGGGCATCACAGGGCATATTGTTACTGCTAGTGCTCAAACAACACCTCAAGAACCTCTACGGCTTCTCGGACAGGTAGCAAACACCCATCATGCATCCCAGCAACCCTGAAATGATTGCTGTTCTCTTTAGGTTTTATATTTACTGTCTTTATTCTGCTCTCTTCCATTGCAGCAAAATTCAGAAGTACTCTCCCATAGAGTCAGCGAAGGTGTACGATAAAGCCGTCAACAGGAAGTCATCTGTTAACTTCAGTCCACGGCAGACCATCGACTTCCTTCACAATGATGAGGTTCACGATGATATGACCTATGAGCTGAAGAGGAAGATCGTCAAACAGTACCTCGATGTGAGCTTATTTTTACAAATTTTCTTTAAGACATAAAAAAAAAGTGTTATGGAATGTTATAATTTATATTGTTAGTAATATTATTTAACATTGTTTTAATAGTAATTATAAGAACTTAATGTAAATGCTAAAAAGCAAAATCAAGATGACAGCGCTCACAAAGATGGTTTTTCTTTATATATTATATTTATATTGTTAGTAATATTTAGCATTAGTTTTAGTTTGTTTTTAATAGTAATTATAAGAAATTTGCCAGTAATGATAGTTTTTATAATTAATAATAATATTAGTGATTATGCTAATAATAATAATAATATACAAAATATGAGACGTATAAAAATATACTTGAAATCACAAAATCATTGTTAATTTTATATATATATATATATATATATATATAGGCATTCCAGTTTCTGTTAATAAAATCACTTGAAAACATTCAAGCTTGGTCATGATTACACCAGAAATCCTTGAAGAATTATTGTGTTGTGGGACCTTTGAGTCAAATTGTTAAGAATTGCTTATTTATACTATTTAATTCTCAGTTTAAGTTGCTGATGGAGCACCTGGACCCTGACGAAGAGGATGAGGAGGGAGAGACGAGTGCAAACGTGAGGAATAAAGCCATCACCGCACTGCTGGGGGGAGCAGGCACAAGCCCCCGAAACCACCACACAGTTGACTCCGAGGATGAGGACAGTGACGGAGAGGAGAGGACACCAGGGGTGAGAGAACGCCAAAACAAACAAAAACACACCTTGAGAGTGCATGCTTTTAATGCGTGATGTAGCCAAGTAGAATGCAGACTCAAATACTATATATGGTAAAAATACCACTTTATGAGTTTTTGTCACACAAGCAAACATACAGTTTTTCCCAGATATCTGCATGATTGCAAATGTGATATAGATTTTTTTCCAACAGCTCAATAAACAAGAAGTTAATATTGTGAGGTACATTTTAGGCACAGTATTGTCTGTTCTTTCTTTGTTTCACCAATGAAAATTCCTAAATTTTCCAATATCCATAGTTCCAAACAAAGCTCTAGCCAAGATACCAGCAAAAAACACACTTGGCTAAATATATTATTGTTGTTGACAAAATCTAAGAAAATATCAAGAATTTTTTATTTTTTTTTGTCAATTTTATCACACACCCTTTACAACCCAGTCCAATCCTCTTAGTAGCTTATTCTGTGTAAAAATTAAATGTGAAATTAAATGGAAAGTCTGAAATAGTATTTTCTTGTAAAACATACTCCAATAATCTTTTATTTGCAACTTTGAAAAATCATTTTTTACAGTGTACATTTTGGTTTAATGTTGCTTTGTTGCTTTGTAATCACAATTCAATTTGCTGTTATTATTATAGCGGGGTTTATGCGGGTCTTAAACAGACCTTAAAAGTCTTTTTATTTGCATGAAAATGTCTTAAATCAGAGCATGAGGTCTTAAATTCATAAAGTTGCGGCATTAAATATTGCAGACACTTCAAAACAAAAAAAAATCTTCCTCAGTATTGTTTTTTCCAATACAAATACCTTAACATCCTTAAATCAAGATACATTTACTTGAGATGCAAATTAAACATATGAAGTTTTGTTTTCTGAGAAACTGTACAAAATTGAGTTTATGCTTGAAAGAAGAACAAATACCTGTCAGTGGAGTTTGAAAACTCATTGGCAGATATTTGTTCTTGTTTTAATCATATACTCACTTAATTTTCTTCAATTAAATTTTTTTTGTATAAAATTTCATTTTTTTTAATTAATGGACATCTGTTGGAAATTGTTTGTTTTAAACTTTGAACTGTTGCTAATACTGATGTATTGTGTTCGATTCAATTTTATTCCCTAACTGTAAATTTCTTAACATGGTCTTAAAAAGTCTTAAAGGGGTCATATGATGCGATTTCAATTTTTCCTTTCTCTTTGGAGTGTTACAAGCTCTTGGTGCATATTACCATCATAAAACCTGCAGAAACCCTGTATAATAAATACATTTAATAAGGGCACATTCAAATAAATTGTTAGTGCCAGTAGGCTACTTAGAGACCGTCTGACCAGTCGTTGCTCACGTTTTGTTTCCGTGTCTCTCGTCACAGGCGTCTCGACGCGTGAGGCGCTCGGCAGAATCGGCGGACCTGCTGTTGACGAACATGAACGAGTCCGTCAGTGCGCTCGACATCATCGCCATCCACTGCCCCAAATACAAAGACCGGCCGCAGATTGCGCGCGTGATCCAGAGGAACAGTGACGGTTACAGAATCCACTGGATGGCGGGCTCGTACTCCAGCTCCTGGGCCGAGGCGAAGCGGCGCGACGGGCGCAAGCTGGTGCCTTGGGTGGACACCATCAGAGAGACTGACATCATCTATAAAAAAATCACACTCACCAGTGGCAACAAGCTCAACCACAAAGTGGCGCAGACTCTACGGTCACTCTACACTGCCAAGGACAGGAACTCCAGCTAATAATACGTAAATGCTCGCACGCACGCACATACCTCCCATCTCAGATCCTCTCAGCCTAATGCAACACTCACACACTCACCGTCTCTCCATATGCCATCAGCCAAACATCTCCTGGGTCAGCCAACCACACACAAACACGAGCGGCTATTCTACACTACAGACTCTTTCTCTTTCTGATGCACTCTGGGTCTGGCGGTGACATTTGACCCTCTGCGCCAGAGTGCATCGTCGTATCGCAGGAATAAAATGTTTGGAGAAACATTGTATGGGTGCTCCTTCGCTGTTGTGCAGCAGATTTCTGGTTGTTTGATTTCTACTCCCAGTGTATCATAGTTTAACATAAAAATATTGTTTATATCTATAAAAGAAATTTAAATATATACTGAATGTTGAAAGAATTAGTTTGTTGATGTTTTTACTTTATTTCTTCCTTTTTTTCCCAATTTCTTTTTGGATTTCTTAGCGTCAATCGGCTTTCTATAGCTTAGCTCCTCCTTTACTGGCTGATGATGATGATTCTCTCTGTCGAGCTGTTTGTCCATTTTGTACGATAGCACCGTGTGGCTGTAATTTATTGTGTATAGCATGCAGTGTCTGTGAGGAGGGCTGTGTCGAAGGAGATTTGCGATTACAGGTCGCCCTGCTCAGCGTAAAGGGACCCACATGCCTCTGATGGAACAAATACTGCAATAAATTTTCTACTTCTCTTACTTGCAAGACTCATCCTGTCCGTTTGTGACTCTTGTTCACTTATCATGCATGCTTCTTTATTGACAGGTATAGTGAAGAGAGGACAAGAAATTATTCTGGGAAACACGTCCAGTGTGTCTGACAACTTGTAAAGGTGCCCCAAGTAGTTTTTTCTATTATAGAATTCAATAAGAAATGAATACTTTTCGCAGTCACACTTTATTTTGATGTTTGTTTGATTTTTACACTGAAAAAAAAAAATTTAGTTTTCACACAGAAATTGCTAGTAAATTTCAGAAATAATTACAAAGAAGTGGTAACATGAAATTTTGAAATACATGTAATGTGTAACAATGGCACATGAAGTTAAAGTGTCACCCTTTTTACTTATTTTGTGCATTTAATTGTATTTTGGAGCATATGCACTACCAAACCACAACACACAAGAATAGCACTTTCAATATGTATACAAATGAGCACTCACAAGATTTAGTTTATTTTTCTTAAGCTGGTGGTTGCCTGGTTGGGATCACATGACCAGCCATCTCTTGCAATTTGCAAACATTTACAAAATATTTAATAATGATGATTGAGTTAAAAAGCATAAACTTGCCTTAAACTTTGATTGTTTCCATGCAATGCCATCCTTAAGTTTTGTCCTTTTCCCATCACAAATCCGGATCCAGCGGAGAGACTAACAGTCATCGCGGTTGTTTAGAAACAAACATGTAATTATCATTCACGTTTCATTTCCAGTCTCATTTATGAACAGTAATTAATATCAGACAGAGTTTTTAACCCTGTAAAGCCTAAAGAATCTACACGCCATTCGTCTCATTGATAGTTTATACTTTTTTAGTAAGTGAAAGGCCTTTTAATATAATTTTAAAAAGCTTCATGTGTCTTTTTGCTTTGAAATTTTTTAATTAAATGTAAGAATAATTTTGATATTAGTCATATTTCAAGATCAACACTTACTGGACTGAATTAAATTGTTACATGTAAGGATATGACCGAAATAGTAAGCTAGTATGCTATTCTGAATTAACAATATTTTGCGTTTAACCCATTTCGAATTAATCATAATAATGGATAATCCATTCATTTGTAGAAAAATGTTAAAATGTATCAAAAATGGTCATCAGTCTTTTGAGGAACGTTTATTTGTTCATTTCTCATATTGCATTGCATTAAATGTTTTGAAACTACAGAGGTTTAATCACAAAACATTTAAATATCATCTTACTAAGACATTGGGAGATACAGAGTGACTGATATTTATATGCATTTTATCTAAGTAGTCTCATACTGTATGATTAAACAGAAATGGGTTGAATACAAAATATTGTTAATTCAGAATAGCATATTAGCTTACTATTTCGGTCATATCCTTACATGGCAGAAATAGTGAGCATAGTACACTAGTATGCTGTTCAGCCAATCTGTTTGTTTCTAACTGCACCAGATTCTAGATTTAAACACACAGTATGATAATGTGACAATACTGTAGCATACTACTGTTTAAAACGTTTGTTGTATAATGTCTAGTGTTTCAATACTAAACAAAAAAAGTACTTGGCAGTATCCTGTATATGCTGCTGCTTAGTATTTAGCTAGCTAATATTGCCAAAGTTAATGTTCAGAATAGCATACTACCATACTTACTTTTTCAGCAGTATGCAAATTGTCTGTATGCATAAAATACGTATACAGTAAGTGCACTGTGCTATGTACTGTATCCCACAATGCAATGTGCTCAACCTTCCATTAGCTGTGTGATGAACTGGAAGTAATAGCAATATATCTTTAATAACTTTTTGTACTGCTAAAAGTTTAAACGTATTACCTATATTTTTTTCTGAGATGACAGCTAGATGGTGCAGTCATGTGAGTATCCATTCTGATATGTGACCTTGGACCACAAAACCAGTCATAAGGTGATAATAAATAAGCTTTCCATTGATGTATGGTTTGTTAGGACAGGACAATATTTGGTCGAGATACAACTATTTGAAAGTCTGGAATCTGAGGGTGCAAAAAAATCTAAATACTGAAAAAAAATCACCTTTAAAGTTGTCCAAATGAAGTTCTTAGCAATGCATATTACTAATCAATCAATTAAGTTTTGATATATTAACGGTAGGAAATTTACAAAATATCTTTATGGAACATGATCTTTACTTAATGTCCTAATGATTTTTGGCATAAAATAAAAATAGATAATTCTGACCCATACAATGTATTTTTGGCTATTGCTACAAATGTACCCAAGCGACTTAAGACTGGTTTTGTGCTCCAGGGTCACATATATTAACTTGTGTTTGCTATGGCATGTCATTTTGCACTGAGTTTTGTACATGTTTTTTTATGTTGAGGAAAGAGGCTCCTCTGTTTCCACCGTAACCGGAAGAACCAGAAACGTGAGTTTTCCATGTGAATTGTCTTTATCTCCGGGTTCCTTTGGATCAATGAATTCACATGATATTTTACTTTTTAACAGATTCATTTCTACCATTTATAGACATTGTCCTTGCCAAAAGCAGTTTCTAACCTATTGGCACAGAGCATAAGCTGAGAATTTGCATGACACTTCAATGATTAGGACTTTATTCATTTCCATGAGTTTTCCCGTTTACACTTCCAATTAACTGTTAACAGTGAACTGATAAAATGCCTTAAATACAGCAATGAAATCATGTGCCAAATGCATAAATGTAAATGTGTGCTACTTTATAAGATAATCTTTAGGGAAAAAATCCAAGATATCTAGCCTTTCAGTATGAGAGTTTTGAGAAGTGGGAAATACTGCTCTGTTAACAAGCTGTTAAATGTTAAGCTTGCTTCTAAAATGGAAAAATCGTTTATATATATATATATATATATATACATATACATACACACACTTTGTATGATATGTTTAAATAAAGCGACCCCCAGTGAAGTCTTACTGGTCCAAAGTTGATTTATAAGAATAAGTTTTCATAAGTTGTCATTTTCAGTCATTACTGTAGAACATCCCGTTACTTTACCTGTGCGCAGGTGCTGGAAACAGGACAACAGGTGTCTGCTCAATGGAAATGTTTTTCCTGTACGTCATTCTAGGAGAAGAATGTATGTTATGATGGGCTGAAGCCTTCATCTCACAGAGAATTCATGATTTCACCTGATGAAAGAGACAGATTAGTTCAGTTCTTGGTGAGACTAAATATGCATGAAATACAGATCAATGCAGGTTATTTGTGCATTCAGACTGAATTAAACATTAGATTCTCCTCAATTTTATAACAATAATCGGTAACACTTTATTTTAAGGTGTCCTTGTTAGACATGTACATGTACTTACTATTTTAAAAACAATTAATTATGCATAATTACATGCAAGTAATACTAAGTCAAACCCAAATCCTAACCATATAGTAAGTACATGTCGTTAATTTATATTACTCAGTACTTATATGTATAATTACACTATCAAGGACACCTTAAAATAAAGTGTAACCCAATAATCAATTATGAATAATCCTAAACCCTAAAATGCATTTAACCATATGATTGTTCTTTTCCAGCAGCTTTCTCTTAAACTAGATACTTATTTATACTTTATATATATATATATATATATATATATATATA